TGCCCTCCCATTAATTCTTCCCAATAGCTCTCGTTCAGCTCCTCCCCCATCCCCAGGCAAAACTCCATGCACTCAGCTGGTTGTTGCCATGGAGGGTGACATTGCCTCCTGATCTTCCTTGCCTCTCCTTCCTAAAGACCCTGAATTATTCCATTCCAACAGTTTTTTTATGTTCTGTGATATGCCTCAAGAAAATTAGTATATTTTTAAATCCATACACTGAGACATATGGAACACTGAAGGATGTCAAGCTCTGTGTTTACAGGGACTGTGGCATATAGGATACAGTTTTCTCTGAAAATAGTGGTAATAAGACAATATTTTAGAGTGGTGTTTTCAGTCTGTAGATAATTTCCTGAGCTGCTTGAATGGTCTGACAACTGACCCTTGTAAAAAAATAAGTGTTTTCAGTAAAGAGGGAGACTGTCAGGTTCGCATTCTCTTATAAGTTACTTTTGAACACATCATTATTGAACTGTAACTTCATCTGTTAGTGTGCATGAGTAAGGAACGATGTCCTTGAATCAAAAGTATGTTTTAGGATTCATAAGTATTTAAAATTATCGTAACAAACACATTGGTACTAGAAAGACTTAAAATGTATAATCAGAACTTTCTGAAAAATCACCAAAGCCCACTCTTTTAAGATGCATATAGGAAATACGTAGTTTCTGAACATCCTGTAGCCAGTAGTCATTTGTTGCAGAAGAGACATTTGATCAAGGATTTCTGGTAGTTTTGTATCAAGCTGGGAATTTGTAAATGGAATAGAAGGTATTTTGTCTATGTGAAGAATAATACGGCTTTACTCAGAAAGCTATCTGAAGGAAATAAAAATACTCTGCACCCCTTACTAGCATGTAGCTGGTGTCCTACCTTTCTGTAAGATAATTTCTCTTAGGGATAAAATTACTTGGTGCTTCTTCTCCAGTTCACTTAATTTTCAGGAAGGGAAAGTGAGATTCCAGAGAGTGTAGACTCTGATTGGGACATTAATGAAGACAAAAGTCTGCGTCTGTAGAAGTCCTGCAATTTTCTGTGTTTGATGGATGTGTAAATTGGTAATTATTTTGGGATCTCCCTAAATTCAGAAGAACAGTGTGTTAAAATGTTGTCTAAGTTATTTGGCTACTGAAAGTATAGTCACATGGAGTCAGGACTTACTCTAATCCAGGCATCTGTAATGGTCTCTGGAGAACTACCCATATCCTTGATTGTATTGGTCTTTTCTTGATAGTGCTTAATTATTGCACAGGCACAGGTTAGTTATCAAACAAAGACTACTTGGAACTCTACTGGGAATGAAGCAAGTCTGCTCTTAAAATGAATAGAAAGGCCAAATGAAGCCAATTTCTTTAAAGAATTACTTATCCTCAAACAAAACTAGGAGAACCCCATTCTTACCTTTTAGTACATGTACTCTCTTGGCAGAGCTCTCAAAAGTTCTAGATTTAGAATCAGTTTTGGAGCGGCCAGATTCCTTTGTAACCTAAACCATCCACAAATAATTCTACACTGGACCAATTTATGGCACGAACAATAAGCATTTGGTCTTGAAATTTTATTAGTCTAAATCCTGAAGTTTTTCCAGTAGCTAAAAAAAACCAACCTTCTGCATTTGTAGTAGTTTCTTTGTTTATGGTGATGGCTCTACAGGAGACACAGCAACTTTTACTTGCCACTGAGCCAGTGGTGCAGGATGAAGTCTGTCCCAGACCTGGGCTCCCCTCTGGGAAGTTTGGTATGTTCCTTCTCATAATAATGAATTATCACTGGACTTCAGGGCAGAATTTTACCTGTCTTAGATAAATCCTTTTCCTGGTGTAAGTTAACCTTCTAAATGCACAGTTATATGAAACTGTGCCTCTATTTTACATTAGTTTACCCTAATAAAAACAACAAATAAGTCTTTGCACCCTTAATTAAAGGTATAAATGAAAATAAGGCGTTTTTTACTTTCAGTCTATATTTTTCTTAAGACAACAGTATGGCATACAGTGTGTGCTTATGATAAAATTGGCATGCAACTTAGTTTTTATGAACCAGAACCATTAACTTCAGGATTCATGGTTTTGTTCAGGAAAAAAGGCTTTCTTCCCTCATATTATTAAATGAAATCCAGTCATTTTTAGTATGGCTAAAGACTAGGGGTTTCAAACTTATTTGTGCTAAACTTTAGAAACTGATGGTTTGAGCTAGGTAATCACTTCCCATCTCCATATTTAACCAGGTCACCTTCTCAGTAACTAATAATGAGAAGTATAGAAGTATAGTGTCTTCTGATCCAAATACATAATCTTTCTACTGCTAGAGCATTCCTAAACTTCTTTAGGGACCTGGATGCTTCTGTTGTTTAAATTGTGTTATGGTTACTTAATTGTTTATGCTAAAAAAATAAAATTTCTGGGGATAGCCTGCTGAATGAAGCTCTATTTTTTATTTAAAACAGCCTGTTTGAATAGACATAATTATCTGTAGTTTATGAGCTAAATAAAAAATATTAGTTTCTTATGAATTGAGCTGTTTCAGATAATCTCTTTGAGAGAAAAGAAACCATGTGCCCTAAAGCTTTGTTGTGTATTTGTTACGATTGTATTATCTTTTAGGCAACATATCCTCTCAATCTCATTAAAATGTGATACAATATTCTGTATACGTCTGTGGCCCTTCTTCCAGCTGGTGCTTGAAATCCTTTTGTCTTCCAGCTGGTCCACTGCTATATTTTTCCAGTTTTTGGATGTCGTTTTTTGAATAATAGTAATACAGTCTTTGAGTTTCATGTTTCTCAAGCTCATCTTGAAGATTTCCATAGGAAAGGGTATTTGACTACTGTTTTTTAATTACTTCAGGCTGATCTTGAGTGAATTCTTGAATGGATTCTAAGTAACAATCCCTGTCACCCAAATTAAACACAAAATCCTTTCCCATAGCTTCTTTTTGAGGGCATTGTGAATTTAAATGTTATATCCTTGTTCCTGGAGAAGTTTCTGTTGTGCTACAGGAATATAGCCAACAGTCCAAATCTCATAAAAAACTCAAAAACAACCAAGCAAAAAACTCAGCAAAATAACACCACAAAAACCTTAATTTGAAATAATAAAGATTAAAAATGTCATAAATAGATTCTACAAAGGAGCAATTGTCTCAATAAGATGCTATTGCTTTGGTTGTTTTTTTTAAAGGAGAAAGGGTTAATTTTGCATTGGCATAACTTGCAGAAATTAATTGAAAGAGTGGAATTACTGTCCCTTAGCTAAGACCAAATGGAGCTTTCCAGTGCATTTTTGTGGGCCGTACCCTGGTGTTGCTCATAGATGGACCATGTATTGCACACTTGTACCATTCCTGTATGCTTTGCCACTGTCTTGCGTTGCGCAAGGTGTTTGTCAGGAGCAGTGCTCCTGAAGTAGTGATTTTCTGCATGCTCACCCAACCACATAAAGAGCACAGGATTTCTGCCAGCACCATCTGGGACGTAACGTTGCTTTCATATACTGAAACATGTCAGGCATAGAACCCTGCAGCTTACTCCTGCTTTCTTCTTAACCTATGAGATTATATCAGTGTAGCATGTGGTCAGCAGGTGGGAAGTTGTAGGGTTGGCATAGAAATTGAAATAGGACCTTAATTGTCTGGAGGGCCCTCACTGAGACAAATGGCAGGAGTGGAGAACAAGCATGGAGAAGTGAACACAAACAAGAAGAGTGATGGCAAGGGACTTGGAAACACGGAAATGAGCGAAGCAGAAATGACTGAAAGAGGCTTATATAGCTGGCAGATTAGTGATGATGTGAGGGGCTAGATGTAGCCTACATGTTACCACTATCCTTTTTTTGGTATTTTCTTACATGTTTGATAATATGTGTTTATTCAGTGTTCAAATGAGAAGATAGGGCTGGAAAACAGAGTAGTAAGTACATTGTTCTGTTTTCATGAAAATTAAAAATTGTTCTTCAGATCCGATATATTTATGGCAATATTATGTGTTGATCAGATCAGAGCCAGGTTGGATTCGTTGACTTTGCTGTGTTTGAAAAATCAAACATTTTTTTCATTTACCTTCCTTCTCCGTTCCTCTTGTTATCAAAGCCTAGTGGCCTTGTTCTGTGAAATACTCAGTAGAAACTGTTAGTATTTTGTTTTTCGTCCTTGTGTCAGGCAGACAGTCAAATTTAGAATTAAATGCTACCTCTTACTGCAATATGTAATACAATGTATAACTTCTTTCAACAGCAATTCAGAATTAAGTCAGATGGAAATGATCTGTTTTCCACTAGTAATTCAAAGACTCACTATTCTCTGTTACCTTCAATTTTCCCAAAAATGACTGATTTAATTTTAAAACTATGTGAAATGCACTTTGAAAACTCTGTGTTTTCCTTGTTACTTTCCTTTTTCTTTAACCTTCTGTGAATTTTTTGAAGGACTGCCACTGCTTTACTGCAGATGAAAAATTGTGCATTGAGCATTGTGTTCTGTGAAAGCTCATATGTCAGCTAGACCTGATAGTAGGCTGTATGTACATTCTGATTTCTGTCCAAATAATAGTATTTCTGAGCCTTCTTCGATCTACCTATGACTTACTCAGAAATTCCATGATGGGTCCCTGAGGAAAATGCTGTCTTCTCCATGATTTTGTTGAGGAAAAACTAGTTCTATTGAACCTTTCTTAAATTATTTTAAATTCACAAATAATAGATTAAAAAAATGTTGGAATTAAAATGTAGTTTTAAGGTCAAATATATTTTAGAATGAGAATTATTTCTTTTAGCAAGATAATTTGCTTGAAATGTTGAGACGAATATAACTGAAGTCTGTATCTGTTTTTTTTCTGGGTTTAGCTGTGATCTTAAGCAGTCTGTAGTACACAAGAATGCCCCCACATGCTCAAGTACTTTGTACCTAATAATTATTTTTATATAATCTGGCAGCTAGTCTTTTAAATATAATGTAAAAATAGACAGATGGAAGTTTTTAATAATATCTGTATTTTGTTTCAGAGCAAAGTAGAAGAGATGACTTGGAAGCTTTGGGTCATATGTTTATGTATTTTCTCAGAGGAAGTCTTCCATGGCAAGGTTTAAAGGTAGTGGGTTTTGATCTCTTCCTCTGTCCTATTTTCAGGTCATCAACTTTTATTGACATGTTTGGGATTTTTTTGAATGTGTGTCTGCAAGCTGTATAACTTCAGAAGCTTGTTTGTTCTTCTGTCATAGGCAGATACATTAAAAGAACGTTACCAGAAAATTGGAGACACTAAACGAGCAACTCCTGTAGAAGTATTGTGTGAAAACTTCCCAGGTAATGTCTGCTATTAATAAAAATGTTGTGTCTTAATTTATAAAATGAAACTGGCATAGGTAATGGCATAATTTCTGGGTTTTAAATTACAATATGTGTAATAGATCACAGAATCTCAGAATGGGTCAGGGTGGAAGGGACCACAGTGGGTTATGTGGTCCAGTCTCCCTGCTCAAGCAAGGCCATCCCAGAGCACATGGCACAGGATTGTGTCCAGGTTGTTCTTGATATCTACAGTGAGGGGGACTCCACAGCCTCTTCAGGCAATCTCTTCCAGTGCTCAGTCACCTGCACAATAAAGGAGCTCTTCCTTTTATTCGGGTGGAGCTTCCTGTGCATTGGTTTCTGTCCATTGTCTCTCCTGCTATTGCTGGGCACCAGTGAACAGAGCCTGGTCCATCCTATTTACAGCCACCCATTACATATTTATGTGTATTCATCAGGTTTCCTCTCAGTTGCCACTTTTCAAGGCTGAACGGGCCCAGCTCCCTCAGCCTTTCCTTATATGAGAGATGCTCCAGTCTCGATCAACTTAGTAGCCCTTTGCTGGACCCAGTCCAGGAGCGCCGTGTCTCTCTTGTACTGAGGAACTCAGAACTGGACACAGCCACTGAGTAGAGGGGCAGGATCACCTCCCTCAACGTGCTCTTTGTAATGCACCCCAGGATTCCATCAGCCTTCTTGGCCCCCAGGACACACTGCTGGCTCATGAAGAACTTGTCCAGAAGGGTCCCCAGCTCCTTCTCCACAGAGCTACTTTCAGCACGTCATTCCCAGCCTGTGCTGGTGCCTGGGGCTGTTCCTCCCCAGGTGCAGGACCCTGCTTTTGCCTTTGCTGAATTTCAGAAGGTTCCTCTCTGCCCATGTCTCCAGCCTGTTGAGGTCCTTCTGAAGGGCTGCAGAGCCCTCTGGGGTATGGGCCACTCCTCCCAGCTTTGTGTTGTCAGTGAAATTGCTGAGCAGGCCTCTGCCCCTTTATGTCATTGATGAGTGAACTAAATAATACTGGGCCCAGATAGAAGAGTTATCCTTTGAAAAAACAGTAAGCTAATGCTGTTTTTCTTCAAATACAGATTCTTCTGAAGGAAACATTAAAAAAACTGTTTTTTAAGGCACACAGTGATCAACGAGTCTGCGCTTGTCACACTGAAAATTTTGCAAGCCTTTTCAGCTGAAATGTGGTATCATACCCCTATTAAAAACAAGCTGCATTAGATACAGCTTGAACTAATACTTAAAATAACTTGTGAGATTCAGGTTTCACTTCTAGCTCTCTCTAAGTACAAGGAGAATCAACGAGGTGTTGGAAAATTGGACAGAAAGGAAATACGACGTTTTTTAGAAGTTATAGTTGTAGTAATATGTCCCTTGCAACATGGGGACGTGTATGACACGTCATGTATGAACATGATTTTTCCAAAATACAACTGAACACCTTGAAAGGTAATCAAAATGTCATTGATAGGCTAAGTGGATTTGCTGAGAGTAGCTCATGACAAATGAAAATAAATCCTGTCCACAGTAGGCCTAGTGGACATGAGGCTGATGCTTTATGTTTTATACCCCTTTCTTTACCTTTCCTCAGTCTTGTCTCTGTAAAATTGACTGGAAAGAAAGAAGAAAGTAGAGGCATTTCTCTCCACATATTTTTGCACACTGTGCATTAGAATTGGAAAATTCAATAGAAGGTCTCAACTGGTAACGTGAAGGAAAAATTAGTGGGGTGTCACTTGCTAGGACATGTTTGGAATATAACAGTGTATCTTAGAATATGGTAGCATCTCAACGAACATTATTAAGTAATTTTTCTTTCTGGTAATTCACAGATTCATGGTGAGCAACTGTTCAGGTTTTATGGTGAGAGGTACAAGTTGCTTTAAAATGAAATAAGGTGGTGGGGATTTTTTTGAGTTCCAGTAAAACAGATAAAGGCAAATATATGTGTTTCTTCTTTATCTAGAGGAAATGGCTACTTACCTGCGTTACGTAAGAAGGTTAGATTTTTTTGAAAAGCCAGACTACGACTACTTGAGAAAGCTCTTCACAGACTTACTTGATCGGAAAGGCTATATGTTTGATTATGAATATGACTGGATTGGCAAACAGTTGGTGAGTACAGTTCAGCTGTTAGTAATATCGTGGGTTTTTCTGTGATCAGTTTTGGGCTTCATAAGATAAGTGCATCTCAAGGCTGCTAATAGAGTTGTGAAGAGCTGCTATTACAAGCCCATCTGCAGATGCGTGTTCTAACATTATCTTTTGGCTTGAGTGCTTCATATTCAGTCTCTTTCCAAATGCGCTCTTAATACCGAAGTACATCTCTGCTCAGTCCAAAAGGAGGTGGTGGAAATTCAGGTTGTTTATTGAGCTGAAGGAACTTAAAATTCTGCAAGTAATTGTCATTACTACATTTTTTTTTCTATTGTTCCCAGTATTTTTAAAATGCAGAACTATAACTTCTCTGCATATGAGGTATACTCCAGATATTTATCAGTTATTATGATGAAATATTGCATAGTTCATTACATATTTTATAACAGTGCATCTAAGGTTTCAGGAAACACTCTGTTTATATAATTTAAGAAATGGTAGAGGATGGGTTTTTCTTCAGCTTCTCAAAGTTTTTGACTTCTTTTTATTATGTAGGGAAGGGAGGACTAATATTTTTATATTTGACCCGTTTCAGATTACACGCTTCACTCTGCCGTTCCCTTTGTGACTCTGAAAGAATTGTAGCATTTATTTTTTTGCAAATTATTTTTTCCAGTTAGCATTAAAAATTACTTTAAGCCTTTCATCAGGTTTCATCAGAATGTTGTAACTGCTAACTGCAGAAAGTATCAGCCTAAAGTCTTTCAGAAAATAAATGTATGATAATACTTAGAATTGCTACTTCAGTACATTCTGTAAGATACGGTTTACTTTTTTTTCTTGTTGGTATTAGTAAATATCTAGTGAAGCTTCTGCTTTCATCTTTTTCATCTCTTCATAATTTTGTGTTATTTGAAACTGTAATTTTTCAACATTATATTACAAACCAGTAATTACAAACTTTTGGTGAGACTTGGAAATTTATTTTTTTTACCAGTTGCTACATATTATTTATATTTGTAGCCTACTCCAGTGGGTTCAATGCATTCAGACCCTGCAATGTCTTCAAACAGAGAAGCATATCAGCACAGAGACAGAATGCAACAATCCAAAAATCAGGTAAAATGCTCATGTGATATTATCAGCATTACTATGTCTTTTGTCTAATGAATTGTGCTGTTTTTATTAGAACATGAAATTAAAATTGACCCTAGTTTTTTTATTTTTTGTTGTTGTTTTCACTTTGATTTAAATAGATCTTTGTTGAGGTCTATGTGTGTAGAGATACATAAATATCTCCTAAAAGCTTGCTAGTTTGAAGCTGTGATATAATGTAGTGAATCAGTAGTCAATTTTCTGCATACTCACACTTCTTTATTTGCTGTCTCTCCTCCATACACTGTATCCTGTCTTTCAGTTCTAACATGTATGTATAACATTTTGACTTTTTTTAAACCACTGTAATAACTTAGGTGGTAACAATGTTAGGAATTGAGAGCTATGTCAGTTTACCTAAGCAAAATTGAAGAGCTGTGTAAGTGTTCTTTTTCTTACTAAGAATTTTGAGATTTAGCTACTTCAGCTCTGTATGAAAATTTACATGAAGGCATGCGTAAGTATGTTGATATGGTGAATGTGGAACTGCAATCTATATAGGGATTGAGTGTGTAGTGCTTCTATGTTTTTTAAAAATAATACATGACAATATACAAATAGTTTATTTTTAAATTTTTTTCTTCTTTTGCATAAATCATAATACATTCGAAAATGATAGTCAACAGAACATAGGGCAGCTTGGGACTCACAGCAAACCAATCCACATCATTTGAGGGTCCACCTGGCATCTGACAGACATGGTGGCTCTGTACAGGTATTTTCTGCTTCTTTCATGACCTAAATCAGTCATTTTTTATTACATAATACTACTTTCCTGTAACGTATTGCATGATTCATGTTTGCAGAATGCTGCTATTATTTATTATTTCACTGTTCAGTTGTCAAAACAGGTGCTGAAATTGTGGAACTTTTTGTTGATGGAATTTTTCTTGCATGTTTCTTAGTTGAACAGTTGAACCATTTCTTTTACAGAATATTTACTGACCTAAATGCAAGCAGCTGAAGTTTAGACTTTAAATGTGTTAATTGTATTAGCAAGTAAAATCCACCATTCAGTGTTGATCAGGCCATGTTTTTTGTTCCTTAAGTAAACATAAAATTAAAATACTGTTAAGTGTTGTTTGCTTACACTTCACTCCTTTAATCAATGTTATTGACTAGAAAAGTGTTCCATGGCAGCACCTCATACATCTCAGTGAAAATATGTGTAGAAACCAACAATTTTTCTTATATTATTAGTTTTATTTCATATTCAAAGAGCTCTTTTTCTGGTTTGTTTTGAATTCTTAAAATTAATTTTTGAAATTTTAGCTCTTTGAATATGTGTGTGCTCTTTGAATATGAAGGTGTGAAGTAGTGGGAGTAATGTGTAAGTAATTAATACTGAAAGATTCAAAATGCCAGCTATGAAGTCTACATGAAATGTTGAGCTTTGAGTCCAAAATGAAAAAGATTTAGCTTTGGGAAGCCTTATCTGGGTGGGGGTTGTGCGTGGAAAATTGTCTGCTGCATTTTTGATTATGACAATCTAAGTTACATATGTTTCTTCTGAATTTTCTGATTTGGAAAAATGGTCACGGCCTGAAGAAAGAAGGAAAAGTTGCGCGTACAGAAAACAAGGCTTCAGTCCTGTCAGGGTGATAACGTTCTCTAAATTTTGTTGCTTTAGAAACAGCTGTCATGTGTAACATAACAACATCTAGTAGGTGATAATTATTACAGTGTATCAAGAAAAAATTAAAAGTTGTTTTGTTTTTCCCATTAACAAATGTTTAAAATACTTTCTTTTCCCATAATTTAGGTTAGAAAAATACACATTGAATTTGTTAAATTACAGTTGGTAGAACTTTCAAAGTGTCATCATGACCCTGTTGGCAATTGTGGCACTTAGGAAACCTTTTATTCTTTGTCAGGTAAAGTGTAACAATTACAAGATATTTTCTTCCATTGTAAAGTATGCTAAATACCCTTTGGAGATGTGAAGAACATTTTCTAGGAAAATAACACAAGAAACACTAGTATTCCTTACTGTTAATATTGTGGTTTTTCTGTCATCTTTCCTCACAGGATACAGAGTAATCTGATCTCAGTTCAGATCATTTAGATCTGTCGAGGCTAAGCAATTGCCATATGAATAAAAGCACTGTGCAAAACTGCAGCCATGGTCTATGTCTTTGAAGATCAAGTGTTGTGCAGCAGGGTGTTTTCATATTGGATTGCTTTTTGTTGTGGAGTGGTCATGCTTCCTTGTTAAGGGCGCTTACAAAATCACACAGGATCTCCAATTTTGCTGTGATATACCCCCTGGCTGTTGTCAAATACCCCTTTGTTGCAGGAATACTAACTGAATCATGCTATTTGTTAAGTTGGTTGATTAGCTAGCTACTTTAGTAGGATTCCTGATTGCATTCAAGGAGACAAATGCTAAAAGTCCCACAGAAAATTGTTCAAAGGAAAAGTTGAGTCTTAGGTATGAAATTAAAGTGTGTTTATTTTTTTCTGTGATGTTAGCGAGTCATTGCTCATCTTTGAGATCAGTTTTATAAATTTTTCTGCAAGATATGAAAATCTGTCTGATATATTTTAAAGTGACAGTGGAATGATTTTAGGTTAGTTCTATTAGTCATCTGTAATAATACTGCTGATGTAATTTCTGAGGTTCTTTTTTAGGTGATTGTTAAAATTTGCTGGTGATTTTTTTCTGTGGCATACTAACATGGAGTGGACTGAATGTTGGTGTATATGTTTGTTAGCATACGCTTGTATGCTTTTAGCTGGAACCATTGAGGTTCAAACTGGTTTGTTCATTAATGGATACTGTTTTATTTTTTGTATTAATTTAATTTATCCCAGATCCGAAGCCTGTGTTCAAAAGATCCTGGTGTGTTTAGACACATCTAATTTTACTTTATAGAATCAGTAAAGTTCAGATAGTATTAGGAAATTGAGCTGTAAAGGGAAGACATCCTTTCTTCCACCTACCACAGTACATTTTTCTAGTTCATGCAGACTTATTAATGATCAACTCATACCTCCCAACAATTCATTCCAGAACTTTTGTGCCTTTGTTTTTATAAGTTTGCCTCACTTCTCAAAATGTCAGCTGTACAACACTGAATTATTTCTTTCTCTACATGAGCTGTAATCTGCTTCTGCACTCATAAAGACTGTATTAATCTTTTCCATTACTTCTTTTTTCATCACTTATTAACTGATCTTCTTCCTCTTATCTTTTCTCTTTCTTTTTTCCCACTGGGAAATTTTTTTAAGAGGAGGTTAGATTGAAAGATTGGGTTAAAGAGTTCCCAATAAAGTACTTAGGAACTGCTTGAAAGATTTTTATATTTGATTTAAGTAGTTTTGAGTTGCAAAATTCCTCTCCTTCAAGAAGTTAAGATGATAAAGTGTAAGATGAAGCAAATCAATTTTGCTAAGCTTTTGTAAACTAAAAAGGTATTGTGATGACTTTTATTCTTTTGTCTTAACTGAAAACTTTTTGAAGGTAAAATGAAGAATTGTATAGTATCACTAATGAATCTCTTAGAAATGTAGACTGGCTTTATATTTTGAGTGGAGAATTCAGTTACTGAGATTCTTAATGGAATGAAAGGGTTTTTTCTGTGTCTGTTTTAAATTTTTGCATTTCCTTGTTGTTGGTATAGTAATGAAAATTAGCAAAATCTGTTTTTTTATGGCAGATTTTCTAACTCATTTTTGAACATAGCAAGTAAAAGGTCAGTTTTTGTACTGATGCAAAGCAAAGTATAGAGGCTGAAGATTTACTGTTACCTTTTAGGGAACTGGTATTTAGGCTTAACTGTGTCTTGTTTTAAGTGGCCTTTTTCAAGCTTCCAGAGGACCATGTATCTAAGAAATCAATCTATTCCACAATTCACGTGTCATTAATGTCTAGTCGGTGGAATTTTTGTTTCTTTACCTCATGGCATAGAAAGTATCAAGAAATAACCAGTGATGCAATATGCTCCTTTATATAGGTGCTCTTTGTATTAACTTTTAAAAAACTTTTAAAGAACTGATTACATTTGAAGGAACTAAATTTAAAGCAGGATAAAGTTATAAAAATTTTTAAGGTAGTTTTAGGTTTTCAGTTTAGTGGTTATTCTCCCACTTGAAAATAGGTAAGTAGCTTAAGTTAATCTTCAATATTGTGATATTTCTTATTTGAAACTTTAAAAATATTTGTTTTTTGAAATGTAATTATGTTACTGTTCAGGGAAGGATGTTCATCTCCATTTTATAACAGAATTTTTAGGTGCAAAACCATAACTTAAATATCCTAATTTTTTCACTGTCGTTGTATTCAAGTCTTCTAAGAGATTAATTGTGCCTCCCATTTTTTCATCAGGCTATTGATTTCATTAAAGGAAGTCCATTCCAAATTGAGTCACATGTAGAGAATTAAATTGAAAGTTTCTCTTAAAACAAACTTAGTGTCATGTAGCTTCTCTCTCCTGAAGTTTTAGCTTTTTATGTGGATCTAATGTGATGAGTTTTCATTGTGCCTCATTTGTTTTACATTCTGGCTTCAGAATCTGGTGTACCACTCCTTCAGTGGATAAGATGTCCTCTGGGTGACTTATTCTTGCTCAATTCTGTTATGTTCCCATATCTTCCTCCCTGTATTGTGCAGATTTTTGAGCTGATTGGCATATACTTGGAGAGAAAAATTTAATGATTTGCCTTATTAAAGGCTCCTTTATTGATGTAATTTAACTGATGAAGTTAAATTCACACGGCTGAAGCCTTACCGACAGTGGAGTTGTAGCACTCCTGCCTTGTAGTCTTTGTATCAGTCTTAGTTAGTTTCATTTCCTTCATCTTATTAAGTAATGAGCTCCTAGAGCTGCTTTTGGCAGTAGTAGATTTGAGTGAAACTCAGTGTAGTTGTGGTTCTGGAGAAGCAGGACTGATGCCGTTTCTTGGATTCATACTGTATACACTTTGGTTCACTTCTGCTTTCAGTGGTTGTAACTCTTTCCAGAAAGAAGAACTTCATGTTCCTTCCACCTAAACTAAGTCATGCAACAGACCATTGCACTTCATAGTACTTGTGTATTTGGTGAATGTGTATGGCTGTGTATGTGTGTGGGAAGGACTACAGTCTCTTTCTCCTTGGTATTTGTCAGAGAGGCAGAGATTATCTGTTACTGACCAGAGCAAGGCAGGGCAGTCTTTCGCTATGTGGTGTGAAGTTTTCAATGAAGTATTTCAAATTCTCTTGAAGAGTTTTTAAATTTTAATAAAAATTTAAAGTAAACAATCAACGTAATAGACCAGCTTAGGAAAAAAGCTGTTTTAAAAATAGATTTATCCAGCTAATAGAAACCACTGTCAAGAAAACTGGGATTGAAGTCAGTTTGAAGAATAAGCTGCAATAAGCTTTGTTTTGTTATCAGATAGTAGTGTATTGACCTCAGGTAAACTGAAGACAAAAGCTTCTGGTCTTGATCAACCACTCTTACTCAATCTTGAGCATAGATCTGAGGCTCTTTTTAGAAAAGTTGTTTTTAAATCTAGATTGTGGAGCAGAAATCTTGCATTATTGGGGCTGCAGGCAAGTTTGACTGCAGTATTAATTGGGCTGCACTGCTGTATATAGATTAGTATAGGCTGTAGTTGTGGTTAGTTATATTGTTAGGTGCAGGGGCATGTGGGCATGACCCTATCAGTGATGCTTTCCAGCTGTAACCATTCTGTGCTTCTATGTTTCCTTTGGAACCAAACTCATTTGGTGTCAAGTTGAGCAAAGTTTTTTTTACCCTTACATTTTTATGACTCCTGTCTTAGTTAGCAAATACTTCTGATGTACTTTTCCACTCTGAGTATTTTACAAGGAGCAATGACATGACCACCACAAGATACCTGGTGAGGTGGTTGGGATAATACTCTATCTCCTTCCTTAGTAAATATGTACAGTGATGGCAACTCAGAATATTCTGTGACTCTGTAAAACTCTGTTATTGTAAAAACAATAACTAGTAATCCAGAATGTTTGGTTCAGGACGCCTGCCCCACCATCTTACGGTTCATTAAAGTACAATTCCTACTTATGTGAAGTGCTTCTGTCATGCCCAGTGATATGAAACTGAAGTTTGAGACAGCTAGTTGAAACTCCACTGACTTATCATTGCAGGAATAAAGTCCAGTCTCCCATGATTCCTGTAGTTATATTAATTAAAATTTAAGTAGCTAGATTCCTGCAATTGTTGTTTTGTTATGAGCCTGCAGGGGTTTTTTGGCAGTGGTTCATATATTAGTGAAATTTGAAAAAGGAGAAAACTCAGCTGGGTGTCAGCAAAGGGCATGGAAAATGCCTTGAGTGCAGGAAACTTCTGAAGCACTGTATTTACTTACAATAGGAACCACAAAACAAACCTCAGTAGGCTAGGCTCTTAGCTTTGGTTATAAATAGATGAGACATATCTGCTATAATAAGAGGAGAGCTTAGAAGAATGAGGGAAATAATATTATGGTGGTGATTTTCCTTCCCTCTCCTTTCATCTACCTTAATCTCTGGCCATCAGACAACAGTAATAACCTTGAATTATGGACTACTCTTAGTCTCTATAGCTGATTTTTTACAGATGTTTTCTGCAAATTTTTATACTGTTTGTCCAGAATTATATTTTTATGCTTGGTGCCTTGTGGAGCAGTTGCTGCTAGCTTGGTACTTAGTAGACCTCTCCATGGTGTTAGTCAACTCTTTAATGGGTCAGTTAGCACTGTCGGCAGCTCTGATCAGGTAGGCACTTGTCTACAGCCAGTTAATCATCTTCCTTTTTGTATTCTGTGGGGTGAATAACGAGGGGCCTCTCAATGGCTCCATTTGTCATGCAGGAAAGCTGACAGGAACTGAGAAAGAGAATATTGGGTTCCACTTGGTTTAATATCCAAACAAGTATTCCCAGAGAGCCACAGCTTTCATGGTCACTTGAAAAACTTACCTAGAAATTTGATGGTAAAGTAATAGGAATGAAGATTAATCTAATTTTTTATAAATTGTTTTGACAGCAGATATTTTTGTGTCCTAAAAATCAGACACCATCTATACTCTTAGGTTTAGAAGACAGCCTTTGTTTTTTCCCCCTTTTCTGGTGAGTGTTCTTTGAGATACAGCTGAATCAGGCCTCCATATTCACTCTGAATACAGAGATAAACTAAGAAGCATAAGTACCCTGAAGGAGCAGAGAAAGGGCTAGACTGACTGAATTGCTATGGGAAAAGTGCTTAGTGCCTTCCCTTATGTGTCTGAGGAGATGTGGGGGAGATTAGCAAATGGCATCCGGAGGGTTGTTTTGCTTCATCCACTCTGAATGCATCATGTGGAGGTCAGTTCTGCTAATAGATATGAAAGGAAAAGTAGAAGAGCAGAGGTCTGTCAGAATAAAACCTGGAGAAGATACTGGAATAAAAATAACTATGGAAATATGTTTTTTAAAGCTGTATTGTAATCTTAGGAATCAACAAATGTATGTCTGTCACTAGTATGATTTCAGGTCTTTCTTGTGATTTCAGGTAGTAAGCTCAACAAATGGAGAGCTGAACACAGATGACCCAACTGCAGGTCGTTCAAATGCACCCATCACAGCTCCTGCAGAAGTAGAAGTAATGGATGAAACAAAGTATGTCCTTCTTTTTATACTCTTTGGATCTTTTGTGCTCAGCTGCTTCAATATTTTTCTCATATAGTTTTTCATAAAATATTATCTGAATTGAATACTCCTTTGGTGAGGAGCAAAATTACAGTGCTATACTTAATTTTCTCTTTAAGTTTTCAAATAGTAGAGTTCCTATAGCTTGTGCGTTTTTAGGCTAAGCCTTCAATGACATGTCTTGCTATGCTGGCTAGAGAAGTGTGTGCAGTTTTTATATTTCAACTCATTTTGAAATATTTATTTTAAGGTAGTATTCTGACTACCAAAGGCTATGTGTAGAAAACATAAAATTCTTCCTTTATATTGTATTCTGATTCTCTTTTTTCCTTACTCTCTTTCTGTATAGCTGCCAGAAAGTGTTGAACATGTGGTGAGTTATACAGCACAGGCAGGCAGAAGTAGCCCCAGGAGCTTTGTTCGTGTTATTTGGTTTAAAACTAATTTCAGAAAACTTAAAAATAAAATGTTGATTTAGAGATGACAAAAATGCATTTTAATTCCGTGAAGCAATTAAATGTCTTTACAAAGAGCCACCTTCAGGAGCTGTTCTGCCTGCTTCAAATCCTGCTTGCTTTTAAGTTGTGTAGTTTGTGATGTACTTTACGTCAACCTTTTTAATGGGTACTAGAATTTTTTTTCTTACTTTCTATTCTGTTTGAAAGGGGAAAGCATTCTTTTCAAATATTGTAGCATTCAGATAGTGTATTAACATCTAAAAAATAACTCACATGAATAAGTAATAATTGCTAGCAAATGTTTGAACTTTTCCAGTTATCTCTGTAAACAGAGTGTTTACCAGAGTATTAGTCTGTGACAACTTTCTAACTAATCACTAAAATGTAACTTCAGGGTTCCTCAATGTTATGGTGTAATGAAAGGGAAAAATATTAAGACCTGTTAACATGGGCTAGACAATTAATGTTTATATATCTGTGTAGTAAACTTAGACTTGCAAAATAGTGCAGGAAAATATTCTTGATAGCTAAAGGTGGCAAGAATTTCATAATTGTGCTTGAAATAGGATTTTACCAGGGTATGGATCTAGTTTACCATAAAATAGAGGCAGACAGGTATGAAGGATACATTAGTAGCAGAGCAATTCATTAGCAACAGTTTTTCTAGGACCCATTTTCCTAACTTCAGGAAAAAGGGAAATTTCTCAAAGTGAAATTTTTTTTAAAGCAATCGTTCCACAGGTTTTTGTTTTGGTAGGTAAGCATTATTTGCATGTGTAATTAATAATTTTGGATGGAGGTATCTGTAGGACCACATTTTTACACTGGCTTCCTGTGAGTACAGAGAAAAACTAAATTCTTTGCTGCCATTTTTATGGAGTACAGTATTATTTTACCGTCAAGAATATAGTTCTCTTATATATATATATTTGAAACAAACAAAAAAAAACAAACCAGAGGGGCTAGGATATTGATAGGCTGCCCACAGGTAAATTTCCTGTCCCCTTTCTTTAAATAAGCACAGTGATAATCTTCCTTATGCTCAACTCATGTACACACAGAAAACAATGAAATTTCTTGCACTTTGAGAAGTGCTTATTAGGGTTTAATTAGTTAATTAAACCTATTTTTAATTCCCTACTTTACTTAGTTATCTGCAGAAAGTTAAGAGAATTCTCAGGAACCAAGATACTCAGCTGCTTGAGAAGTGTAGAAGTTCACTTTTTCTTAAATGAATACATAATGGACAAATATGGGACACTTGACCTTTTTGGCCTGCTCTTAACTGGTTTTGTTACAGACAAAATAACTAGTCTCAGTATCCTACTTTAGATTGATTTTATTTTTTTCAGGTATGTAACACTCAAATTAGTGTTTCATCACTATGTGTTTAAGCTGAAGTTTCCTCGGTGACTAGAGGTTTTTCGGGGGTAGTTTTTTATATTTTGAAGTTGTTTTATATTTTAACATACATGCCCACCCACTCAACCTTACCCCCTCTCCAGCTTTGCTATCAAACACCAATGCATAGGTACATATATTTTTTCAGAAAGAGCACTTTAGAAGATTTAGATAATTTTACATTTTAACATGGCAGTTACAAACCTAATATCAAAAGGGGTTGTGAGGCAATTAAACATTTGTTTATAGATTTTACACTGTGGAATAGGTTAAGGGGAATGGGATTATTAGTATTTTTCATGTCTGTGACATGGATATTTTTGGTTTTAAGGAGACTCCCACTTTGTGCCTCTTTCATAATGTTTTCTTCACCTAAAAGTATGAACAAAGTTGACCTGTCTTGCTCATATCTTCCATTTGTAACATTTCCTCATTCTCTCAAAAGACAAACTTGAATCTTATTTAGAAATGCTTCATTCTTTTTTCTAGATGTCTTCTTAGTTTTAGAAGCTTAGCATGCCTATATCCTCATCTAAAAGATTTAAAAAAGGGTGCCCCTTATGTGGGATTGCCCCCATTATGTATGATTTTAACTGGGAAGGCAACAGTCATTTAGCTGAATATTAGAACTTCTGTTACCATTTCAGTGCAATCCTGTAAATAAGAAAGGATAAGTTTGGGGTTTTTTTATTCAGTAAGGATTTTATTGTTTTGGGACTTCTAACCAACATTTAACCAAACATTTAATTTTTTGATAAATATTTATGTACTCACATGCAGTATATCTTCTAAATCTTACGTTGTGTCACTTTCATGGTGGTTGTGCAGCTGGCATGACCTAGCAGTGGGTGTTGTGTTTTGGGAATTTCGCTGGGTTTGTATTTTTATTTGTGAGTTATGGCAAGGGGGGTTGTTGGTTTGGTTATTTTTGGTTGTTTGGGATTTTAGAAAAGCTTTCTCCCTTCATTTGTTACTTACTGATGTTGTAAAGCAAGGAGAAAACTAACCTTATCACTGTGCTGCCCTGACACTTGGTGATCTACAGATCTATCTACAATCTTCTACAGGTGCTCTTTCATTTATCACTGAGCAATTAACTTATCTTTACTGTTTGCCAGCCATCAGAACAGTTGCTTCTATGAAGCATGTTTGCATAACCTATGAAGCACTTTTGGATAACCAAAAAGCTCTTCTGTGGGAAGGCAGAGAAGGGCAAAAAGGAAGTGACTATATGATCTGTTCTTTTTGCATCTTGCATTTTTGCCACTTTAAACACTTGTTGTTAGCACTACAGTAAAGTGCCTGGCACATGCTTTATGGTAAATATAAAAACACAACTATCTCATCACAAATGACAAATTAAGTTGCTTTTGAATTTTGGCCCAAGGCACTGTTTAAATGAAAGGAAGAGTATTTAACAGGAAAAAAAGATACGATAATGTCTTAAGAAGGACAAGAAGTGTTCAAAAGCATAATGCTGAGATTGCTACCTCAGATATTACCTCAAAGGTATCACTTTACATTGTACAGGAAAAGTGCAATGATTTTTGCATTTTATAGATTGCTATTATACTGCCTACTCTAAAATGTTACATAAACTGCAGATAAAGGTTAGCAGTCATTAAAGGCCTTATTTAAAAAAAAATATTTTCTAGAGGTAGAAATTTTTAAAACTTACCTTTTCTGTATTTTGCATGCATATTGTATAGTATAATAAATTTTTGGTTTAATAATCCTTAATAATGCACCTAAGCAGTGTAGTGTCTGTGTTATGTATAAGTGACAATAACACCCTCTAGTGACAGTATGCTTAAGAACAAGTCTAAATTTCTGTTATGAATAACGCTCACTGAGAGATTATGCACTGTGAATCTCTTACTCAGGGTTATGTTTCTTTCATGAAATTCATTGTCAGCTGATACTGTGTGATCTCTCATAATCCCATTTAAAGGTGCATATATTTTAAAATTACATTTATTTGGCCTTGGAAGCCAATTTGAAGTCTAACACTTCTAGATTTAAAAATACATAGTTTTTTCAGTGTACTTGGGTTCAGATTTCCAAAACAGTCTTATGATTTGCAATTCATCGTGGAATTGGCATTCCTTTAGTCCTTTTTAGATATGTTATATATTAATAAGATCTTTCTTTTTCCCCATCAAATAAAAGTTTTCATCATTTAGTGATTTCTCCTTGAATTGAAATACAGTTGAGTGATTTTTATAATTAAAAAACCCCAAACAAAAGAACTGTTAATAGAAGTTATACTCATTATAGTAGGATTATGCAAACTCCAGAAGACTAGAGGATTAAAAAAACAGTGCATTATGTTGGTTAAAAATAGAACTCTTGAATTCTCCATTGCACGGACAGTGCACTTTTTTCTGGTTGACAGAGAAGTAGCAAACTAAATAGGCTATGCAGAAGGAATGAAAAACAGTATGAGATTTGCAGCAAGGATGAGTTAAAATTTTCTAATAAAGAAAGAAGAAAACCTAAAGTGTCCTTAAATAGCAAAGAGGATCCAACTAGTCCTAAACATCTGAAAAGTCTGATCTACTTGGGTTGTGATCCATATGAGCAAAAGAGTTCTAGAATATAAATTAGCTGTCTGCTGTATTTCCATCTTCTTACAGTTACTTATGTAACCTGGGTTCTGTATATGCTAGCGTTATAAATCGTGGGTTTTTCCTAAGGCACGCTAATCTTGAACAAGTATAAAAGTGATTTACCATCACAGTTGAGAGTAGGATTTCCTCATCTACTGGATCATAGGATAATACATGTTGAAAGGGAGGAGCACTGCTTTGCTTTGATACATATATACATATATATATACATACATATATAAAATACTTGGAGTGAAAAAAATAATTAAACTAAATTGGAGTTCATGGATCCACAAGTAAATTCAGAGCTTAACTGACAATGGATGTTAGTAGTTATAGGCAGATGCTAAGAAAAGGCTTAGTTAGTAGTTATGGGGGAATTACAGTTACAGTCAGTGGCTACTACCCTTCAAAACCAATTATATCTCTTCTTTAAGAAGTACTTTAATAAATACAGCATGATATTTCTGCTAGCTGTAAAAATACTTATCTATGTAGTTTCCCCTACTGCATTTTAATTTTGGGCTTCCTCTTCAGCAATAACCAATGTTTTTTTCTACTGAAAGTTATGTAACTCTCAGAGCAGTTCTGGTCTGCCTCTGCCCACTGCTACTTTTTCAGTGACTGAGCAACAGGGTGCCTTGGATATTTTGAGAAGGTAACTGCTGTCTCCCCTTACTTTGGATGTTGTTCTCACCCCCTGTAGAACCTTATTTTTAGACCCTTACTCTCCCTGATTTTTAAATGCTTTCCCCATTTCCCATATTCCAAACTAAATCATCTGGATTCCTGTGAATTTTAGTGATGTAAAATGCTTGGTGAACTTAAGGATTTACTGATCAAGGCTATTGATGCAGTATATTAATATTTTCACTTCTGCTGTAATTCATAAGATTATTAAGTGTATAGTGCTGCAAGTGAGAACTCAATAACCAAACGACGGAACTCCATGGGACAAACTCTGTTAGAGTAGACAGCTTGCATGTTCAGTTTTGATCACACACATTGTAAATGCTTTAGTGTGAAGCTTTATTTTTAAAGCAGGTATTCAGGGAGTTAGGCATGTTAGACTTAAAATAAGCCTAACAGTAAAATTTTAATAATTTTTGTGTGTGTGTGTGTGTTATTTGTTGCTTTCCTCTTCAGTTTATTTTTCAAAAGTACTTTCTGGACTTCTGTAGTCCTTCCGTATATTATCTATATGTAACTCCCTCCACTCTTTTTCATTTTGTAGTGTTCTTTCAGGTACTTCCAGATTGTCTCTATTTGCTAAATGAAATTCACAGTGTTTGTCAGTTTTAGTTTCATTCATGTAGTATGTAATAAAGCAGAAGAGAGAATCTCTATATATTATAGTGTTCTTTTTATTTAAGCTGTGATTTTGCACTGTAGTAGTATTATCACAGCACTGGATCAGAACATTAATTATATTGTTCATTAACATTTTCTTCTAAAATGTGTTGTGGAATAGCCTTGGAGAAAGGTTTTCCAAGTTCTGGAAAAGGTTGACAGAGGAAGCTGGAATTGTTTTCTTGTTTTAGCAACAATAGTGTCTTAAGTACACAGTTTAGGTGACACAGTCATAAGCACAAACTTCTATTTGGCATATTGCCATTAATATCAACAAGTACTCAGATAATGGAATATTCTTTATTCTTAAAAATGTATTTTTAAGTCAGCCTGTAATACCTGTGCTTTTGATACACTCATCAATACTCTAAACTTAATAGCTACTTGCATTATACCTTTTTTAGTTTGATACTTTTTTCCAAAAAAAAAGGGGAAACATCAAAAGTATCTCTACTTCAGTTTTTTCTCTAATAAATCAATTTCCTGTAATAGAGCTTAATGTATTCTTATGGTGCTGGCTATGGCTATGCTGAGGTGCATACTCAGTCATTAAAGGCCTTATTTAAGTTTAGTTGAGACATACAGTAAATAGTTTAGTTTTGTGGTTTCTTTTTATATCATGTGTAATTCGTGTCACGCTTGCAGGTGCTGCTGCTTATTCAAGCGGAGGAAAAGGAAAACCATCCAGCGCAACAAATGACTAGAGCCAAACAGAACGTGGGAAAATGTTTATTTGTTCAACTGTTGTCTTGTGATCTTAAACTCAACAACAAAACCCAAAGCAAAAACCTCCATAATAAACACATTTTCCAAGGACTTTCTAAGAAACAATATCATGTCTCTGTGCTTTGATTTAGTTCTTCTGCATCCATCTTCTGTAATTCATCTGTTCTGAAAGCTTTACGATATTATCAAATAAGAGTGCTTCTTTGACCATCAACATATGGACCAATGAAATGATAGAAAATGAACAGTATCTTGAGCAAAACTGAACTTGAGAAGTGTTTCTTCTTTACTAGGAAGTAGTAGCAGTGTCTTAGATGAAGACGGATGTCATAGATCAGTTATTTGAGTTTGTAGCAGTGTATCTAAAGCAGTTTTCTTCAAAAATGAAGAAGAAAAATACAGGTACACAACCATATTGCGAAATAATAAAATCTTAAGATTTATTTTATGATACTTGCATTGTTTTCTTCTTTTTCCTTAGTATTACTGGCTAGTCAAATTGTTACTCTAGTCAAATTGTCACTGTCTAGAGAAACCGGGGATGCAGATTTAACTGTTGACAGTTGTCAAAATGCTGGTGCTACTAATAGAAAGTATTTCCAGTATCCTCTTGGTTTGAAAACCTGCTTTTGTTTTGCCTACACAGAAAATTGCAGTACAGTAGAGATTATAAGTGTTTGTTCAAAGAATACAAATGTTTGTATAATTTAAGTTGTACATCTGGTAATGTTAACAAGATCAAATTACCTTTAAAAGAGTTCTACAGAGCAAATATTGAATCTGGTTGAAGCAGAGTAAATATTAAAGCCTGTACGTTCACTAAGGTAGTTGTTGATTGACAGTATCTTTAACTTGAAAATACGGACGTGCCATGTAAAGTTAGAGATGCATTATTTTGTTATTTAATTTAGAAAACAAATGAAATAGAAGTGAGTTAGACTTCTGCCTTCACTGCATACTAGCCCAGAGCATCCCAAATTTCCTGCTGTTTTTTTCCTGGAATTTTCTTATCTGGCACTGTAAGGTCACTAGTATCAAGATGGCAAGGATGTGTCAAATGCTTATCTACAGTCCAGTGAAACGCTTGCAATATGGACAAACCAAGAGTCCTGTAGGCAAGACAGCCCATTTTTATTTTTTTCTTCTTCAGGAAATATATGCTTCTTTTAAAGCCATAATGACAGAGTTGTGGCTTTGTCATGTTTAACTGCCAGTTATTGAAGAAGGGCTGTGGAAGATGAAAGTGACTAGACAGATTTATTGACCAGAACACAGATTATCTCTATTTTTCTAGAATTCTTCTAGAGCCTAAGTAGTGTCTTTTTTCTGTCCACAAATGTTTTTTTGCATACTTATTTATTTTTAATCTGTTTTGTGTTAGCATTTAAAATGTATGTAAAAGCAAAGGTACACCTTTGAATTAATCATTACATTTACAAGGATTTTAATTTAATTTTGTAATTTATTTTTCACTAAGAGCCAAAAGTGTATTTTATTGTTTGGATTATGTGCTCATATGTATGCTTTTGTATAATTTGTCATTATTACTGTTCATGCTTTTAAATTTTTGTTCTAGAAAACCTGGACTTGGCTTACAAAAACACACTGTGTAACAGGTCATAAGTTTCCACTCCACCAGAGCATTTTACTGATTATTTCAGACTCATGAGGTTGCTTCTTTCTTTTCGTCTGAGCTGAGAAGTAGGTCACTTGACCATTCTTTTATGAAAACACATCCTTCTTTGTAGTACTTGACCAAATCTGTTGCTTGTGTATGTGGTATGTGTATTTCTCACACACCTGATGAGTTTTATTCTTGGAGGTTTTTGATCTCTACAGTGTTTGTATGATCTCCATAAAAAGGCAGCGTGACTATTACGGATTTACAGTGGTTGAATATATAAAAGCTGTTTATTTGCTGAAATGGCTGGTAAAGCACTTGCTTTTCAGCAGTATTTTTAAGTGCTTGATTTTAATGCAGAAGAAAGTTTTCTGCTAGTAAAGCAATTGGCACTAATGTAGGTATGCCAGTATAATTTGCATTTATATACTTTTTCTTCCTGTCTACAGTAACGAAGTAAATAATGGCTGGATGTCTGAAACTGCAATATATCCCTGTTTAAATGTAAGGAAAAAAAAATAAAGATAGTTTTTTAAAATTTGCCTTTTTCCCCCTTTCCTATAGTATTTGATGAAATAATGTTTTAGCATGTGCTGAACAATTGTAATCTCTTTGGATGGCAAGGAATTTGAAAGCATGATTCCTATAATACTATCTTACAGTTATGTTTGCTTACTTAACAGATGTTACTGTTATGTGCTTTAATAGACCTGATAACAACAGTGGAGTTCAATGCACACATTTGAAATCTACTCATGGATTAAAGTTTATGCTTTCTCTGCCACCTAAAAAAAGGCCTAAGGAGGTCTAGGAAATACATGAGAAAAATGTATTTTGGATTAGAAGAGTCCAAACACAAAACACCACTTCCTCCTCTTAATGTGAATGTGGAAATGTTTCACTGGATCAGGCTGCTCAATGCCCCATCCAGCCTGACTTCTGAGTGTTTCCAAGGATGGGGTATCCACAGCTTCTTGAGGCAACTTGCTCCAGTTCCCTGTCTCACCACCCCCGTGGAAAAAAAGGTCTTCCTTACATCTGGTCTAAATCTACTCTCTTTCAGTTTAATCTGTAATTTCTTATTCTTTCACAGACCATGGTAAAAAGTCTCCATGTTTTACACTGCAAGTATTGAAAGTCCAGAATAATGTATTTCCAGAATCATCTTTTCTCCAGGCTGAAAAACCCCAATATTCAGTCTTTCCTAATAGGAGGGGTGTTCTCATCCTCTCATCATTTTTGTTGCCTTCTCTGGACCTTCTCTAACAGGTTGCAAGTGTTTCTCATGCTGAGGACCCCAGAGCTGGACATAGCACTGCAGTGGGATCTCAGCAGAGCAGAGGGGCAGAAATCCCTCCCTGGCCCTGCTGCCCATGGTGCTTTGGATGCAGCCCAGGACGCGGTTGGCTTTCTGGACTGTGAGTGCACACTGCTGTGTCATGTCTAATTCTTCATTCATCAGTATCTGCAAGTTCTTCTCTGGTGTCAAACCCTTTATCCACCAGTCTGTACTTAGAGTGGGGGTTACCCTGGGCCAACTGCAGGATCTTGAATTTGTCCTTGCTGTGCTTCAGAAAGTCTGCATGGGAGCATTCCAAAAACTTGTCAAGGTCCTGAAGTGCGTAGAAGGTAGCTTTTGATAAAGGTCCATTCCTAGCTCTGTTGTTTGCAACTAAAGATAGTCTGATGAGTGAAGATTGGTGGCTGTCTTGGTCACAGTTGATTATGAAGATGTTAAGTTTAAGTTATTTGGCACTATGAAAAGAAAGCAAAGATACTACCCAGGAAGAGCAGGCTTTTGGCTTTCAATGATGTTTGGGTCCAGGTACTCCAGTGGACTTGTATACAAAGAAAGGCTGCTGTGATGTGGTTGGAGGCTGTCTTTGGCACAGAGATCACAAAATGATAGAGCTTTTGATTCTCAGAGAAGTGAGGCGGTGGATCAGAACACCTGCCATCTTGGACTCTAGAGGATACCCTGGCCTTTCAGCTTTATAGCAGAGCAGACTTTGTGTAGTATGGAATATTCTTTTGGTCAATTTGGGTCAGTTGTCCTGTTCATGTCCCCTCCAGGTTCTCCCAGCCCCAGCCTGCTGGTGGTGGGTCTTGGGGAGACGGTGCTGATGCTGGGCCAGGGCTGCTCAGAGGTAGCCAAAGTGCCACTCTGTTACCAGCACCTCACCAGTCACTGACACACAGCACAGCAAGGTGAGGGCTGCTGTGGGGAAAAGAACCCATTCCAGCCAGACCAAATACAAGTCAACATGGTACTCATCTGCAAGAAGGCTGGAAGGAAGATCCAGGGAACCAACAGGTCTGTCAGCCTGACCTCAGTGTTGGGGAAGGTCATAGAGCAAATTTAATTGCCATCATATGGCAGTCACATACACAATGAGCAGGGGATTGGGCCCAGCCAACACAGGTTTACAAAAGGCAAGTCCTGCTAAGCCCACATGGTCTCCTTCTTTGACGAAGTAACATTAGTGGATGTGGGAAAAACTGGAATGTTGTCTGCCTGGGCTTTAGGCATGGCTTTGATGCCATTTCCCCCAGCATTCTGCTGGAGAAAGTAGCTGTTCATGGGTTGGAATGGTGCACTTGTCACTGGGTAAAAAGCTGGCTGTGTGCTTGGGCCCAGAGAGTGGAGGTGAATGGGGTTACATCCCGCTGGCAGCTGGTGTTACCTGTGATGTGGACCAGGGCATTGAGTGTAGCCTCTCTAAGTTTACAGATAACACTACATTGGGCAGGAATGTCAATGTTCTGGAGGGTAGGAAGTCCTGCAGAGACCTAGACAGGCTGGATGAATGGGCTGAGATTAATTGAATGAAAACCTCAAGGCTGAGTGCTGAGTCCTGCCTTTGCAATAACCCTAGGCAGAGCTACATGCTGGGGGAAGAGTGGCTGGAAAGGTGCTCATCAGCAAAGGACCTGAGGGCACTGTTTGACAGCAGCTGAATGCAAGCCAGCTTTGCCCAGAGGAAGGTATCCTGGCCTGCATCAAAAATGGTGTGGCTAGTAGGAGCAGGGATAGTCCCAGCAGGATGGTCTCCCTGTTCAAGGCACTGGTGAGGCCACACCTCAAGTGCTGTGTCCATTTCTGGGCCTCAGTTCAGGAAAGACATTGAAGTGCTGGGGCATGTCCAGAGAAGGGCAACAGACCTGGGGAAGGGTCTTGAGCTCAAGTCCTGTGTGGAGTGGCTGAGGGAGCTGGGAGTATTTAGCCTGGAAAACAAGGCTTGGGGGCCTTCGAGTGTGTATCCAGGTGGGGGTCAATGTCTTCTCTGAAGAAACAAGTGACAGGACAAGAGAAAATGGCTTGATATGGCACCAGGAGAGGTTTAGATTGGATATTAGGGAAAGATTTCTTCTTCAAAGGGGTTCTCAAGAATTGGAACAGGCTGCCCGGGGAAATGGTGGAGTCACCATCTCTTAAGTTATTGAAAACATGTAGATGTGGTGCTTCAGTACCTGGTTTACTGTGGTGGGCTTGGAAGTCCTGAGAGTGATTGGGCTGAGTGATCCTAAAGGGCTGTTGCAGCAGAATTCGGTATTAATGCTAAGAATGTGCTATTATACCATATTTCAAATGCAGGAAGTGCTGGCATTGACTGGCCGTTGTTAGGCCATGAAGACCCATAAAAAATGAACAGTTGCCTTTCTGTGACTCAGTTTGAGACAGCATAGCTGCAAAATATTTATTTGGGTTTTGAGGCAGTTGTCTGTGGGTGACTAGGTAAACCCCCACTTGGTTTGACCAGCTGCCAGTTGGGGCATGGGTTTGGAAATGAGTCTTAAATTCATCACACATTAATTTAGTATTTTCTTTATTGTCATTTCTTGCACTGGCTAGTGAGTTTGTTGTGATGCTCCTAAACAAAGTAGCAAGAACTTTTTACTGCTTCAGAGATAGAAATCTTGAGATTTCAGTAGTAGTCCCTCTTTTTTGGTTTTGTGGAAACACAGGTTCTGAACTTGGGTATCCACTTCAATTTGAATCAATTTTTGAGGGGTAAATTTGTTTGTTTCATCAGCTGAGAATGTATACTGTCTGCATTCTGCCATAGAGGGTTGTCCTGAGGACCCCTGCTAGAGGCTTGTTTTCCACATTAATGCCCTCTTTCTATGAAGAAGAGGAACTGAGGACAAAGTTGTTTAGAACTCCCAAGAGTTATGTAGGTAGTAAGTATACATAAATTACTCTGATCTGATTGATAAATCTCCCTGCATGGCCCCTAAAATCACAACTGGATGTAACAATTAAAATTTGCTGAGGTAAAGCTAAATTTGAACCATGTCTTACATGCAGGACAAATTAATGTATTTCTATATTTATTTTCTTAAATGAAGAAATTGTATTCTATAATATGGTTGTGCTGTGCCATTTTATAAAACAGATACAGAAAACTACCCTTTCTGGAAAAGACAAGGTAAACTTTTGTAGTCTTAGGAATACCCACATGTTGCAGGTGAAATGAGCCCTCTGTATCAAAGATCAGTACAGAGACTTTCAGTACCTGTAAATTCTGCTGCCCAGTTAATCATCTGTTCTGTGTAAGGCATTATTGAAAAAGCTCCTGCTACAATGAACAGGAAACTTGTTAACTTTGCCATGTTCTTGCTTGCTTGGTGTATCAGGATTGTCTTCCACCTGCAGTTTCTTTGTAGGAGGCTCTGTGAACTCCGTCTCCATTTGGAAGGGTAGTTTACTTCAGAGGTGAACATAGATGCTGTAAA